ACACACACACACACACACTGGCCAGAGGACAAGGGTGCAGGCTGGGACGGGTGTTGAGCAGGAGGGCCCCTGGGGAGGCCCAGGAGAGCATGGAGAACTGACGAATTTAAGGAAATAAACATTTCTCCCCAGAACCCTCCCTCTCAGTAAACACTCTCCCTGTAAGGCTCTCAGGACCCTGGATACTCACAAAGGGGCCGGCTCCGGTATTTGCGGACCGTCCTCACTTTTTCAGCCACTGAATGCTGGGGGATGACAAGGAATGAGCCCTGAGACGGTCACAGACAGACGCTCCCCCCCTCACGCTCCCCTTCCTCTGATCTCCAACTCTGTGGGTTTTGCTCCCTCCGGTCCCCAATTCTGGAGGGTCTCGAAGCACCAGAGAAGTAGGTGTCACCGGGTGCCAGATGAGGGGGAGGTAGAGTTGCCCCTCCCCCTGAGCTGCCTGCCTGTCAGCTCTGCCACCCCACCCGTGGGCGGGTTGCCACAGCGATGCCACCAGGAAGACAGTCGGAGTCTGTCAGGCAAGCTGGGCCCCATGGAGAAAGGCTGCTGTCTCTAGGGGGGTGCCAGGAGAGGGGGAGGGACCGGGGTTGGCAGTGCCACCTACCAGTTTCTCGATATTCACCAAACCATCCACCAGGGTCTTACTCCCCTCGTGCAGGAAAGTCAGGTCTAGGGGATGGAGAGAGAAACAAATGAGGAAGAGGAGGTTCAAAGGGCCCTGCCCCTTCCCTGGAAGCCACTCAATCTTGGGGGGCTCCTCTCCTCTGGGCACTCAGCTGGGAGGGGACTGAGAGGCAGAACTGGGGCATGAAGCAGGGGGACAGAGGAGCCTCATTTGGGAACAACTCTCACCTTTGAGGATCAGAGGCACAAAAGGGATCACAGGAGGTTTCATCTTGGAGATCACGTCTCGGTAGCTTTTGTGGTTCCTGCAGGGGTCCTGGCATTCCGCAGAAGAGGGATAAAGGGACAGATAGGCCCAGGGTACCCCAAAGACACCCCCCATTTCCTCCCTCATCCCCTTGCCCTAGCAGAGAGGGGTGTGAAGGGGGTGTGTCGCTGGGGGGTGCTGGGGAAGGTCTCCAATCAGGTAGGGGTGTGCTAGGGAAGTCTTTTCCAGGGAAAATAGGGGAGCAATCCCCCAGCATGGTGGGAAGAGAAGGGGGATCCTAGGCACTAAAAGCCTTGAAAGGGGAGCTTGAGGGAGAAGGTTTATGGGAACAGAGAATCTCTGGGGTACAAGTCCGAGGGCAGATAAAAGAGCCAAACCCACTCACTGTCAGGTTCTCGAATTTGCGGAACAAGTTCTTGAATTTCCCTGGCAGCTTCTGCGGAGAGTTTGAAGGAAGAAGGAGTGTCAGAGTGGAGCTCCTTGAGGTTCATGGGATCCCCAGGTGTGAGCGGGGAGAGGGCCTGCGTGTCTTGCAGGGGCCGGGCAGCCGGCGGGTGGGGAAGTGGAGTCCCCCTTGGCTGGAAGCAGCCCAGAGACATGAATTATTCTGGGGAAACGGAGGCCTCTGCCATGCTGGCTGCCATCGGACAGCCCCGTGTGCGCCTGGCCTGGGCTGCCTCCGTTACTCATCTGCACCTCGCAGAGCACCTCCGTGGCCACCCAGTGGGTGACCTCGCTGCAGCGCTGCAGGAGCAGCTCCAGGTTGGCCGTCTCCCGCCGGCCGCGCTCCCCGTGGAACACGTAGTCCACGAACTCCAGCTGCACCCACGGTGGTGGCAGAGGGGCGGCCAGGGCGCGGGGCGTGTGGGTGGGAAGATGGCAGTGCCAGACGGTGAGGAAGGAAAGGCAGGAGGGTTGGGGCGGGAGGGGTAGAAAATAGAAAAGTCGGGGACAGGACAGGATGCAACAGAGATGGGGGGAAACAGCCAACATAAATAATACTCTACCATCTATTGAGCACTTACTAGGTGCCAGGCACTTAATCCACGTAACAGACATTATTATCGCTGCCTTGTTTTATTTCTTTAATAGTAAATACTCAAAAAGTACTAATAAACCCCGGTTCAGCTTCTGGGTAAGCAGCTTGGGCCCTGAGCCACCTGCTAGGGGTCTGTCTCTTTGCTGTTTCCTCTGATGAGGGGGACAAAAGCTTAGCGAGGTCCTGGTGGCGCATTGCCCCAAGGACATGCTGCAAGTCGGGGTCTGACCAGGCTTTTTGGCGCAGAAACTGTCTCGCTCCAGGCCCCCACATGTGGCACATTCCTCCCTCCTGGCCCCTCGCCCAGCACCAGCCTCAGTCGCACCTCGTGCACACAGCGGAACAGCTCCCAGTGGAAGGCCGTAAGGTGGTTGGCAACATCCTCAGGCTCCACCCGGTGGATCTCGGTGTCTCCTGGGGAGACCTGGATTTCCTCGGGGAGGGGCACCTGGTGGCAGGCAGGGGGACAGGGCTGGGCTCCCCGCTGGGCTTGTGAGTTTCTGCTTCACCCCCTCCCAGCCATCGCTCCCAGCCCAGGCCTTGTGAAGGCCTTCTTACCAGCGCCTCGTAGCTGTCCCGGGTGCAGGCAAACAGGTGGCTGTTGATGCCCAGCGTGGTGAAGACACAGTCTTCAGTGGGCTGGAGAAGGACTTTCTCTGCAGAAAAACGAGCTGCTCTGCCTCAGGCCTGGCCACCTGCACCTTCACACATCCCGGCCACTGTCGCCATCCCACCCAGCCACTCCTTGCCTGCATGGACACATTCGACTAATGGGACTTGTAGTATCACCAGTGGAGGCTCTATTTTTCGGACATTTTTCAAAGAATGACTTCTTTTGCATTTATAACCTCTTTTTTGCTGCCAATGTCCTATCACAGCGCCTCTCTCATTCTTTCATCCCCGTGACACTGGAAAAGCCGGAATTTTTTCCTGTCTTAGAGGGAAGTAAAGCGATGACTACCTCGCCTGCATGGACACATTCTAGACTAATGGGACTTGTAGTATCACCAGTGGAGGCTATATTTTTCTGACATTTTTCAAAGAATGACTTCTTTTGCATTTATAACCTCTTTTTTGCTGCCAATGTCCTATCACAGCGCCTCTCTCATTCTTTCATCCCCGTGACACTGGAAAAGCCGGAATTTTTTCCTGTCTTAGAGGGAAGTAAAGCGATGACTACCTTGCAGGCTTTTTGTCTGCCCACAGGGATTGCAGGCGCACCCTGCATCTTTAGCCTCAAAAACAAAGCATCCTCAGGTTCTCAAAGAGATTAAAGGACGAGATCCCAAGACGAGTAAGGCAGGCACCCAGATCAGCATCCAAGTGTCCTGGACCAGTGCTTCCCAAATTTAAACGTGCATAGACTAATAGCCTGGGGATCTTGTTAAAATGCACATCCTGATTCAGCAGGTCTGGAATTGGGGTCTGAAATACTGCATTTTTAATGAGCTCCCAGGAGATGCTCACGCGGCTGGTCCCAGCACCACAGTGAGCAGTGAGGACCGAGAAGTCAGTTTTTACCCGCCCCAGGCTGGGGCTTGTGCGTTTTGCATTTATAACCTCTTTTTTGCTGCCAATGTCCTATCACAGCACCTCTCTCATTCTATTGTCCCTGTGACACTGGAAAAGCTGGAATTTTTTCCTGTCTTAGAGGGAAGTAAGGCGATGACTACCTTGCAGGCTTTTTGTCTGCCCACAGGGATTGCAGGCGCACCCTGCATCTTTAGCCTCAAAAACAAAGCATCCTCAGGTTCTCAAAGAGATTAAAGGACGAGATCCCAAGACGAGTAAGGCAGGCGCCCAGATCAGCATCCAAGTGTCCTGGACCAGTGCTTCCCAAATTTAAACGTGCATAGACTAATAGCCTGGGGATCTTGTTAAAATGCACATCCTGATTCAGCAGGTCTGGAATTGGGGTCTGAAATACTGCATTTTTAATGAGCTCCCAGGAGATGCTCACGCGGCTGGTCCCAGCACCACAGTGAGCAGTGAGGACCGAGAAGTCAGTTTTTACCCGCCCCAGGCTGGGGCTTGTGCGTTTCTCCTCTCCGGGGGTCCCAGCGGAGTTCTTCCTGACCCTCACCTCCTGAAGAGGCCACAGCTACCAGGATGAGGGAATCCTCCCGCCCCGCAGGCTCCTCTGAGTACTGCAGTTTCTCCGTCACAGAGCCCAGAATGTCCTGCACAGATGCGGAGAGGCGGCTGCGTATGGTCACGTAAGAGTGGTCAGGCATGTAGACGCGGCAGAAGACTGGGCAGAGACAGGAAGGTGGCTTTCATCAGAGGGCAGAATGGCAGCACTGGCATTGTCCCCTCCAGGACACCGGTGTTCCCCACTCCATTCCACCCCTAACCCTAAATTGGTTGGCCTCTGAAAAAGGTGCTGTAAAAGGTACAGGTTCTACTACAAGGGAGACTCCATGGAGAGTGACCAAGACCCAAGACCCCATCGGGCCCCCTGAGCCACTCGGGAAGCCCCGCCCCTCCTAATGCCCACACTCACTCTCATCAGAGCCCCGGAAGGCCACTCGGGTCTGCAGACAGGAGTCTATCCGGCGGAAGTGGCGGAAGAGTGGCTTCACCTGCTTGTTGGGCGGCTGGCTCTCCTCTGGGATCCTGGCATGGACACAGCTGGGCATCAGGAAGCCCTGCCAGGCATATGGAGTACCAGGCAGGCAACATCAAGCAGGGATATCAGAACTGGGTCAGGGATGCACTGGCATCAGGTTCAGAGAGTGGTGGGAGGTGTCAGAAGTGAGGACAATGGCCAGCAGGGGACAACTGTCCAAGTGACCCAAATCAAATGCCACCTCTTCCATGAATTCTTGTCTGATCTACCCCACCCACCAGGAAAGGTCATTTTTTCATGCTGCTTTTTTTTTTTTTTTTTTTGCTATAAGACAATGAGCTAACATTTGTTTATGTTTGTATCTTATCTCTTCTACAAGTTTGAGAGCTTTTGAGAGCTGGGATTCGTTCTTACTGGTTTTGTTTTCCATCGTCCAGGCCTAGAACATTGCTTGGCACATGGTAGGTGTAGGTAACCAGCTGTTTGCTGAGTTTTGCCAACAAGAACTTCACACTCTGGGAGGGAAACAGATGTGCACACAGCTACTTCTAACACAAGGCAGGTGCTAGGTGCTATGACAAATATGCACGGAGAGTTACGTTGGTTTAAAGGAGGGAGAAAGCTATTCCTAAAAGGGAAGGTCTGGGGAACTTTCATTGAGAAGATGGCATTTGACCTGGCCCTTGAAGGACAACAGGAAGAGAAGGGGGTGGGAGGAGGTCCTTCTGGAATAGACCATCTAAATGACAGCAGGAAGTTGGGAAAGCACAAAAGTTTAGGGGATGAGATGTGTAGGGAGTGTGGTGGCCATAGGGCTATGTAGGAGTTGAGATGAGAAGAATTAGCAGAAGACAGAAAGGGAAGGGTGTTGAATTCTGTGCTAGGATATTGCAACTTTTCTTGTCTTATAGGCAATAGAGAGCCAAGATGTTTTTGGAAAGGGAACATGATGTCAAGTTGGAAAGATCTCTCTCTCTCTGGTGTCACTATAAGAAGGGAGAGACAGACACAAGACCATAAGCTGAAGCCCGGCCGGCATTAGCTCAGTGGCTGAGCGTCCACCCTATGAACCGGGAGGTCACTGTTTGATTCCTGGTCAGGGCACATGCTCAGGTTGTGGGCTTGATCCCCACGGTGGGGCATGCAGGAAGCAGCCAATCAATGATTCTCTCTCATCATTGATGTTTTTATCTTTTTATCCCTCTCCCCTGAAGCTCTGAAATCAATAAAAATATATTTTAAAAAACAGACTGATCCCCACGGTGGGGCATGCAGGAGGCAGCCAATCAATGATTCTCTCTCATCATTGATGTTTTTATCTTTTTATCCCTCTTCCCTGAAGCTCTGAAATCAATAAAAATATATTTTAAAAAACAGACCATTAAAACGAAGCCCTGGATTGGAGGCTGTGGCAATAATCCAGGTGAGAGATAATGAGGCCTAAATAAGGGTTGTGGTGGTGGGGATCGAGGGGAGAGAAACGGAAAGGGCCGAAGGTATGGATGGATAGATGGACAGACGGATGGATGGATGGATGCAGTGGTTATCCTAAAGCCAGTTCACATTGCCTCATGAAAGCAGATTGCTAAATTTTGCCCACTGGCTTTAAAATAAAGCTACTTTAAAAATAGTGTGTGAACCCTGGCCGGGTGGCTCATTTGGTTAGAGCACTGTCCCAATACGCCAAGGTTGCAGGTTTGATCCCCAGTCAGGACACATATGAGAAGCAACCAATGAATGCATAAGTAAGTGGAACAACAAATCGATGTTTCGCTCTCAAAAAAAATTTTTTTTTAATTGCAGTGTGGGTGTGTGTGTGTGTGTGTGTGTATGTGTTTCTAACCCTACAGCCAAATTATTACCAAAAAAAAAGTAGTATTCTAATTGTCTTACTACATTTCACTATTATCCATGCTCTTCCGGTGATTTACATCGATGGTATTTGTATGGTGAAAACACTATACAAAGACCTCTACTGCACATCTCTTCCCAGTTTCGCAGTCAGTGATGTCATGTTGGTAGCTTGAAATCAGCCATGATGAGGGAATTTATACTATGAAAATCAGCAAAAGCTACAAAATCAGGGTGGGTTTGTTTTTTCCCCCCTGAAGTGCTGGTTGTTAAATATTCACTAGTATGCCATTGGAATGGGGGGAAAAATATGACTGGAGCCCTGCTGAGTGTGACTCAGTTGGTTGGAGTGTCATCCCATATACCGAAAGGTTGCAGGTTCGATTCCCAGTCAGGGCACATGTCCAGGTTTTGGGTTCCATCCCCGTTGGGGTGCATGCAGGAGGCAATCAATGGATGTTTCTCTCTCACATGGATGTTTCATGTTTCCCTCTCTCTCTCTTCCTCCCTCCTTCTCTCTTCCTCTCTCTGTGAAGTCAGTAAGAACAGATCCTCGGTTGAGAGGAAAACAGTGACTGGGAGACAGTCTTTGTGCTGCTCTCCAGTAAGAGAAAGGGACTGAAATAAGACCACACTGGAGCCAAAAGGCCAGAGGCAGCCCCTGTACGAGAGGAGCGTGGGGATTTCTCTCCTGTCCCCTTCCCCAACCCATTCCCCTCACTTTAGCTCCACGGTTTCCACAAGCTGGTGCAGCCTCAGTGTGTCCTCTCGGAGGTCCTGGTAAAGGGACTCATCCTTCATAATCAGCAGGTACAGATCCTGGGGAGAGGAGAGAAGTGAGGGCATCGCTCTGTAAGGTCTCCATGCCTTCGAGCATAGGAGAACCATAGAAGCGAGGCCCCCAGGCACCTTCTCCTTCTAGTACCCCGCCTGACAACTATGGCTCCTTCAAAGGGGCCCCCTCCCAGAGCTAATTGCCTGCTCACCCGCCTTTTCTTCCCAGGCCCACCTTGATGATGCGGCCGGCCCCCTCCTCCTCCTGCAGCAGCCCCTGGTAGGTGTCCAAGAAATGAAGGAGCATGGCTAGACAGGCCTGCTTCTGGCCCAGTCCCTCAGGGCCCTCCCTGCCTCCTGCCAAAACAAAGCTGACCCCCACGTTAAGGAAAAACCCCGGGCAGGCAGACCTGAGGAAAGTGGGAAGGGAGATGAGAGGCTAAACCACCCCAAATATTCTCTAGGTTTGGGGCCAGGGAAGAAGGAGATCCAGGGGTCCCTGGAACCAAGACCCCCTCATGCCCTAGCCCAGAGTAGATAAGAATGGCACCCACGTGACCACATCCAGCTCCCACCTCTGAATTTCACTTGAGGATACCCTGTCTGGACCAACCCAACCTCCACCAGGCCACGCCTGGAGCTCACTGCAGGCTGATAAAGGTCATGGTGCTCACCACAAACCTGACCACACCTGTAAGTAAGGCCCGGTGTTTCTAAGAGAACCTATGATATTCTACTCAGCAGCCTGACATTTGCAATTAGGTCCTAAAATAACTCAGTGAGAGGCCCTATGCTTACATGAGACCCTCTGAAGAGCCCAGCCAGTGGCTCGTCTCTAGTAGACCCTACAGAAGCACAGCCACGACCCGATGTTTACATCGGACCCTGTAATAACTCACTGGGCAACCAGATGTTTAGAGCAACAATTCAGCGAGGAGAGAGGCACTCTTAATGGAATAATAACACCTTAGGTTTGTACAGGGCTTTGCAATCTCCAAAGCGCTCCCACATCTGTGATCAGATCTATCTCCACAGCAGCCCGGTAGGTAGGCAGAGCAGATGCTATTTACCCTCATTTGACAGAAGAGAAAACGGAGGCCCTGGGAGGTTAGGCGACCTGCTCAAGGTCACACAGCTGGTGGACAGAAAAACTGGGGCTGAAACCCAAGGGTGTTTTGTAAGGGAGAGCTTAGGCCGTGACATCACATGTGGGCTGGTGGGAGCGGCTCCCTCCTGACCTCCCCTTTTGCAAGCTCCACAAAAGGATATTACTGGTGTAGCTCCTGCAGGAATTTCTCCGTGGGGAGGAAGAGAGAATGGGTGAGGACGATGTCATCCAGCAGGATATCTGTAGAGATCATTCGGCACCACTGATGTCAGAGGGGCACTTCCAGGATCCAACCGGACACTCCCCACCCCACTCTCTTGCCTCCAAGGGCGAGTTCTCCTTAGCCAGACTGGAGCCCCAGCCACCTGCCCCATCATGCTCTGCACACACACACACACACACACACACACACACACGTGTGTGAAGGTTCTGGGCAGCCGCTGCAGGGGTGGGGTTGGCAGCCGCCAAGGCAGCTGGAGGGAAGGAGGGGGCACCCTTGGATGGCCACGCCCACTTCTCTTCAGTGTGTATGGGAAGCTGGTCAGATAGTACACCAAGCTTGAGATCAGCCCCCTGAAAAGAGGTCTCTAGACAGAGACAACTTCCAAACACAGAGGTCAGGGTCAGCAGGGTGTGTGTGTGTGTGTGTGTGTGTGTGTGTGTGTCCCTCCTCCTCTCCCCACTCCCTACCTAACAGCTTTGAGTTCCAACTAGGCAGGTGAGAACCAGCCCGATTAAAAGGGAGATGGAGCAACTGCCATTTCTTTGATCCTAAAGCCTTTAAAGAGAAAAACCCTGTGTCCTCTAGATGCTCAGAGATCGTCGGGTTAATGATGGAAGGGTGGAGGGGAGTGGCTCCTCCCACCACTTCTTTCCCCTTCACACCCCCATCTGGGCCTGGCTCAGCCAGTCAGCCAGGTACAAGGTCGCCCTGACTTGCATCCAGCCCTGGGGTGGGGCAGGGCAGCCTGGCACACACAAACAGGCTGGGCGCAGGGAGGGAGCCAGGTGTCCTTACCCGGACAGGTTAGGGCCAGGTCCCCAGGCACTGCCTCAAGACAAAAACCAAGGCTTCTGTGGGCCCTTGGCTCACCATCCCTGGCCTCCAATTCTAGCCAGGAAGGTGGAGGAGTACCAACACCGGATCCTCTACTTCGACTCTTTCACTTCACAAATGAGAAGAAACTGAGGCCAGGGGCTGGGAGGGACTTGCCTGGAGCTGGGCTAAGAACCCACACTCCTGAATCTTTGATCTGTTCTCAATATGCCCGAGGCAGACTGCCTGGGTAGAACCAGGGGTCCAATGGGGCTGCTTAGACTTTTGAGAGACTGGCTAGTTTGGGGTACCGTCTGTAACTCCTCTCCTCCCACACACCCTGGGAGGGAACCGAGATGGCTTAAGCACGTTGGGTGTATTGGAGAATATCAGAGCGGCAGGTTAAACTGATTCTCATTCATTCTGGGACTGGTTTGGGGTTGTTTCCCAAACCAGTTACTCTGGGAATTGAGCCTGCCAGGCCAGATAATACAGGTGACAGTCAATTCAGGAGTCCTTCCCCAGGAAAGACTGGGCAGAGCCTGTGGCACCCAGGCACCAGAAAAACAGTTTCTCCCTTTACCTCTCTGTCCAGCTACCCTGCTATGTTCTTAAAATGAGAGTGCTCCCCCAACTCCGATGCCCAGCTCCAGGGAGGAGGGACTAGGACTAGAGATGCCCGTCCTATACTCTTTATCCCACTGATGAACGAAATCAGAGCTAAGGAAGAAGAGCACAGGGCAGAATGGGGGAGATGCTGCTGTGGGGGCTACAGTTTGGCGTCGGTCTCCTCCAAGGCAGGCTCTGGTCCAATGCACAGCCTCCCCAGGGAATGTGTCAGAGAGACACAGGGTGTGTAGCGTAGGCGGGAAGTTATGGTTAGAAGAGCTGTATGTGTTTGATATTTTTCTAATTAAATCCAAAAGGTGTCAGCTCCCCAGGGCAGCTACAGTCTGAGCCAAAGGAGAGAGGGCCCGGGTCTTGAGAAAAATCGAGGGGACTGGAGCCCTCTCCCACACACCTAGGCTAGGGCTCCCTGCAGAGCTCTGAGAGCACAGTGGGGAACCCCCATCTTGAAATGCTCAACCAGGGTCCCCAATCCCCAGACCCTGCTGGGCTTAGCAAAAGGCCAAGAGCTAGGCCAAAAGACCCACAGGTCTTTTACTTTAGCGACTACCCAGCAATTTGGGGCTTCAGTTTCCTCAAAGTCCCCTTAGGAGGGGTGCTGGTGGGGAGTGGTGCAATAGCATCATCATTTAGGGAATAAGCCTCTCAGGGTGTGGTTATTATTTTTTGAAAGAGGCGGTGTGCTGAGGCCTGCCAGGGGAAGGGTGGGGGTTGGAAAGGCCCAGACCCCCCTGGTTGCCACAGGGCCCTGGTGTCTGCCCAGTCATCTCTCCCCCAACAACATCTCTGAGTCAGCCCCCAACTGGAACACCTCCCTCCACTCCCAAGCGGCTAAGGACAATGCATCCCTTTGCCGGAGCCCCAAACCCAGCTCAGGCCCTGTGCCGGTCTGGCACTGCCCCACTGGTTGGGCCAGCCCTCTGCTCTGGGCTTCTAAACCGAACGGGGGACTCCTGGAAGGTCTTTCAGGCTTGGGCACCTCGGTGGGGGGAGGGGAGCACGGCTGCTCTGGGCAGCTTCCATCTTAGTGTGTCAGGCCCTAATTTTGGGCCCCAGGAGGAGGTGATCAACATCAGAGACCCAAGAGTCTGTGGATAAAATGTCCAGGGGAAAGGAAGGGTGGCTTAAGGGAAGACAGAGGTTCAGCTTCTTCTCCAGCTGCGGGTGAGGCTGCTACCGGGAGCCAGGTGGCCCTGCCACTCTGTTCCTCCGATGAGCCCCTGCCCCACTTCGGCCGACCACTCAACCCCACACCCGGGCTCCAGCAGAGCGCCAGCCCGTGCTGCAAGGGCGAGGGCGAGGAACCAGGTGGCAACCCCCTGCTCTGGGGTGGATGAGCCAGCCGACTCCTTCCTTACCTGAGGCGGCGCTGTCCCTGGTGGCCCCTCCGGCCAGCCGCTGCAGAACCCGGTTCAGGAGATGCTCCGGCCGCTCGGGGGCGCCCAGGGGGGCCCAGGGTGGGGAAGTCAGGGGCTCGCCCGGGGACAGTTCGTC